GGGCTCGAGAAAAAAAAGGCGAATACCGTGGCCTAAACTTAAAATCAAAAAGTTGACATTTCACTTTTGTAGATTGTGAAGAAAGAGTCAAAATGAAGACCGGCCCACCGGAATATAAATGGTTTATAAAGAATGAAGACGGGTTTGGAGAGATGTGGTCCCAGAAAGAGAATCACACCACAATCCGCGAAAAAATGAAGACGGGTTTGGAGAGATGGGATCCTAGAGAAAGGATCACACCCCAATCCGGGATGAAGACCCAAGATAAAAATCTGGGGTAAACGAAACTCTGGCAAGAAACCGAGTTAAATATTACAACGTCGAGGTATTTCAACCCTCTTGCCTACGGGTAAGGTTGCGAGTTCTAGCCCGGCCAACAACGTCGAGGTATTTGAACCCTCTTGCCTACGGGGAAGGTCGCGAGTTCTAGCTCAGCCAACAACGTCGAGGTATTTGAACCCTCTTGCCTACGGGTAAGGTCGTGAGTTCTAGCCTGGCCAACAACGTCGAGGTATTTGAACCCTCTTGCCTACGGGTAAGGTCGCGAGTTCTAGCCCGGCCAACAACGTCGAGGTATTTGAACCATCTTGCCTACGGGTAAGGTTGCGAGTTCTAGCCCGGCCAAAACTGAGGTATTTGAACCCTCTTGCCTACTGGTAAGGTTGCGAGTTCTAGCCCAGGCAACAACGTCGAGGTATTTGAACCCTCTTGCCTACGGGTAAGGTTGCGAGTTCTAGCCCGGCCTACAACGTTGAGGTATTTGAACCCTTTTTCCTAGAACTCCGGCCAACAACATCGAGGTATTTGAACCCTCTTGCCTACAAGTAAGGTTACGAGTTCTAGCCCGGCCTACAACGTCGAGGTATTTGAATCCTCTTGGATACAGGTAAGGTTGCACTTCTAACCCGGCCAAAATCGAGACTTGCGGAATAAAATCGAGGTATTTGAACCCGTCTTGCAAAAATAGTAAGAACGTGAGTTCTAGCCGAGGTAAATAATCTTGGAAGATAGTGGGACGCCCTTAGATTCTCAAGTTCTTGCGAAGAAATCAAAATTATTGCTAAGAAAGCAACACATCCGAGTTTTGATAAGAAATCAGACTTGCGGAATAAAATGAAGAGATTACTGCTATTACATCCCGGCAGCCTGGACAACCAAACTACCGGGCTAGGGGCAACTGTTATGGACCTGACAAAGGCCCATATTCTAGAAGGACCAATAAACGACAAAACAAAAGGAAGGGAATTTCCTATTGATGACGATCCTATCCAGACAAATAAACAGTTGGACTTGGGCTCCCAATATTCCTAAGAGGCCCAGAAGTACACTCCTTCAGGTAACCCATCTATAAATACGAGGTTAAATCAATAAGGTAAACACTCTCTAAACCCTCTCTCTTAGCTTGTCACTGTGCACACACCCCACGCCTTGACTATGTCGATTATTACTGTGCACAGTGATCGGCCTACCCTCAAGGGTATCTCATTCATAGATACTTGAGAGAGGGCACCTAGATCCTACATAAAATATACCAGCCACCAGTTGGACATCTCTGTCTTTCAGACAGAACAAGTAGTATTTTATTTATCATTTTAAGCTTTCGTGATATCAAAAAATTTTATTTTAGTATTTCTCTACAAAAAATAAAGAAAGGAACACTTAATATTTATGATAAAGATTATTCATATATGAAGACAAAAATGAGATTCTATGGACTATGAAAGTAAATATCAACATACATTTATGCTTGAAAATGAAAAAATTAATGAGAGTGTGAAATTGAATCAAATAACACTATAAAATTCATAAAATGATATATATTTTTAAGCTTTTTTTTTTAAATGGATTGACAAGCTAATCCGCCATAAAATGAGACGGATTGATATTTTCAACCCATTTTTTACTCATTTTTGGCAAGTTCACCTACTTTGCCACCTATAACTGTGAGTTTGGACAATATCAGTCACGCTTTGCATTGATTTGAATGAGTAATGCTGTTTCTTGAGTCTTTTTAAATTGGACACACTAATTAGTTTCTAAAATCCTCTTAATATTCATCATAATTTTATGTTTGTTGTAAAACTATAAGAAATATAGTAAATATAAGAGAGAAAACAAGAAAAATGGAAGAGTGATATTTCTGTTGTATATTACAAGCTTTGAGCATGAATAAGCTATCAACAACATGAGTTAGTATACAGGAAACAAGACCAATATATAGTTCATGTGAAAACTACATGGAAAACACTTCATAAGATGATGTAAAGAAGACACCAACTTAATTTTTTTCGAAAATGGACAGAGGACCACAAAGAAAAAGGAAGAAGAAATATGATATATGTTGCAAGGTTATATACAATAGAAAGTAGACCAAAATAATCACCTACTTTACTTCAGCCAACCATGCAGTGAACTCTGGTCGTTTGTTCCTGTAACAGTCATAACATCACTCACAGAAGGGAAGACAAGACCCGTAGATCACAAGATATAAAAGCCAAATTAGCTAGTTATCAAATTCAGATTCAACAGAAAAAAATGCAAGCCATTTATTTACTTCACAATACATTTACTGTAAGAACTCGCACCGCTAAATTAGAAATTTAAATAATTAATTATGAGTTTAGGAAATAAATCCATGATTGACCTTGAATAATTATTAAAACACTTAAATAATTATTATAAGGGCTTAATAACGCTGAAAGTCGCTTTTCTGACGAAAATTGCAGATACCGATTCTGCTTCACGGTATAAGTGCGTACCGGTGAAGTATCCCCAAAAATTATAATAAGTGTATGAATATTCCTAGAATAATATTTAAGACTGATATGTCAAATTTGGAGTCGAAATAATGAGAACTGACGTCATGACTGATACCGGCAGCGTAAAAAATGCGTACCGGCAAAGTGCTGCGAAAATTATAATAAAAATATGAAAAAATCCTAGAAAAATAGCTAGGATCAGAATCTAAAGTTTTAGATTAAAATGATTAGCAGAGCTATTAATGCTAATACAGTGGGATTAAACTTAATGAACATATAAATATCAAGTGGCACAAAGACCTAGGTCAGTTCCTATTGCCTCTACGTGAGATTTTTTGATCCCTTGGCTGCTGCCACCTTCCTCCACCGTGCCACCTCCACCTTTCTCCATAGAGATCCCAAAGTGATCACCTTTGTTCATATCCCCTTCACCAAAATGGTATAGGTGAGTGAGAGCAAGCTTGTGAGAGTGTGTGGTCACTCATTTCTGAGTTGCAGCTTCTGAGTTGGTGAGGTTTTGGGCTGACTTCTTGAGTGTTGAGGCGTGAGCCATTTTCTTGAGGTGTGATGGCTTCAAAAAGCTATCTTCAAGTATAAAAGACCAAGCTTGTGTGTCAAATTCGTGGCTTTGCAAAGTCAGAATCTTTGAGCTGTGTTAGGAGCTCCAAATCACTTCCATTTTTCTGATTTCTTGAGCCTGGAGACTGTGAGTGGGATGTTTGGTGCCGTGGGCTGGTGTGGACTCATTTTTGGATTGATAGCTTGAGAGGTAAGCTTTTGTGTCCTCGGTTTTGCCTATTGTTGGTTCCACCATACTTCATGGAGGGGTGGTTATATGCATGTTATGTTTTTTATGAAATTATGTGATGATTACTGAAATGCTATTGATCTGCTTTATTGAGTGTAAGTGCCATATGATATGTATGTGGTGTACCACCTATACGGTAATCCTGAGTATGTGGAGACATACAAGATGGCAACTCCGTAGGTGAGGTACAAGCGGTGTTCCTTATACTGTAGGTTGTAGACGTTTGTAATCCCTACGTTTTATTCTCAGGCCAGTAGGATGTATACACACATGACATTGATATATGCTGCATTGCACAAGTTTTGGAAATTATATTGCTATATTATTTTGGAACTTATATTGCACATGTAAGTGAGCTTGGGTGGAGAGATCCTTGAAGACCCTTTGTCTTACTGAGATTTCTTTTAGAGATCTCACCCCGTGTTGGGGCACATTTTCAGGTACAGGTACCTCGGGGGTTGATACCTCTAGCGGCAGGAGGTCGGAGTTGAGTTGATTATGTATGTTGAATGATGTTATGCCTGGATATTGATCATGTTTTATTTCGGAATATTGTTGTTGGATTTGAGACTTTGTTTGGCCTTGTTGCCTTATTTGGTGTGCATGGGGGTTGTCTATGCCACGTTGATATTAGACATGTTTGAATTTCTTTGAGTTGTATAATGTATCATGATATTTTTCGGTCTACATGTTATAGTTTCGTGACTAGATACGCAAATATTTATACCAAGAGGTTATTCATACAGGCTATATTTTGAAAAAGGATAAGTAATCAACTTGGTTAATTTAATATGTACATAATTGGAAATAAAAAGTTAGCTTCCGCATTTATTTAGCTGCGTCATTACCATATGTATGTTTAATATACTGGGTGCACACGGGATGTTACATTTTATGGTATCAAAGCACTTTCTAGGGAAAAAGCCTGTATGTATTGCAATAACTTAGGATGCATTGTGCGAACTATCTGTGATGTGTTTCTTTTGGGTTTTACTATGATAATGCATGTGTGACCACATTGTGTGGGCCTGACCAACTCATTCCTCGTGTAACTTGTACAGAGTCATGGTACTTCCTAGGATGAACAAGAGACGAACGAAGGTCAGCCTGACCTGGTTCTGACTACTTTAGCTGAGATGCAAGCAGCTAGACAAGTCAATCAGAAGGCCGCTAGAGTGGCCAATCAGGCAATGATGGACGTCGTGCGAAAGGCGAACAGAAAAGCAAAAGAAGACGTGCTTGAGGCGAACCGGTTGGCGAACATGACAATGATGAGGGTCATCTTGGAGGAGATGAGGGTTGGCCGCAATGAGGGTCAGTTTCCTCCTCCACCACCTCCACCGCCACCACCGCCACCTCCATCTCCACCTAGTCATCATGATGGGGATGGAGGAGGAGGAACACATATTCCCGACCACGATGGTTTGAGTCACATGGAGGGTGTGAGCTACTTTACGGGATTGATGCAGCCTTACCTTGAGCCCATAGAGGATCGTGAGACCATAGACCGCCGGCTGAATGCTTTCCGTAAGCTTAAGCCTCCTTCCTTTAATGGATCTTATGACCTTACAGTTGCTGCTAGATGGCTTCAGGCTCTGGATAAGATATTCAGGGTGATGCAGTGTGTGGACGCCCAGAAGCTAATGTTTGCTACTTATATGCTGGAGGGAGACGCTCACGAGTGGTGGATGAACACCTCTCAGTTTATGAGATGTGAGGTCATGTTATCACATGGCCATTCTTTGAGGAGATGTTCCTTGGTAGATACTTCTCGTATGATGCTCAGGAGAGGAAGCAAGGGGAGTTCGAGCGCTTGGTGCAGGGCTCGATGACTATTGATGAGTACGTGGTTAAGTTCAATGAACTGGCCAAATTTGCACACTTTAGGATTGCTATGCCTACACCGGCATTTTGGCATCTAAGTTCCGAAGGGGACTTAACGAGGAGATAGCAGACAGGATAGCTGGAGCAGCATCCTGAGATTTTGTTGGTTCAGCAGTACCGTGATATAGAGGACATTTGTGTGGTCAGCAAGGCCAAGAAGGCTAAGGTATCTGAAGTGAAAGGAGCTGGTAGCTCCACTTCTTGGAGAGACAGGAAGTTTGGAGGAAAGGGAAAGGGGAAGCAGTTATCTGCTAGACAGGCGCCAAATCAGTTTAAGAGGACTTCGACGCAAGGGAGTGCAGCTAGATCTCCTATTACTCCTAGGTGTACCAGATGTGGGAGATCATATGTGGGACCATGTGCCACCGTTCAGATCATTTGTTTCCATTGTGGCAAGGAGGGCCACTATGCCAGAGATTATCCTTCGTCGGCTATTAGAGCTGCAGCAGTTTTGGCGATTCCTCTTCAGATTATTCCTACTGCACCTAGAGCGGCACCTGTCGTGCCACCAGCCACTGGCCGGGTGTATACCTTGGATCGACAGCAGTCAGACAGAGCTCCGAACCTTGTGAGAGGTACTATTTCTATTCATATTCTTGCTGTAGATGTCTTGTTTGACTCTGGAGCTACGCATTCTTTCATCGCAACCTCGATTGTTGTGGGGCTTGAGTTACTCATTTCTGTGCTTTCTCCACGGTTGCGGTTTACTACCGCCACTAGAGAAAAGTGTGATACTACCGCTGTACATCACGATGTCGTGTTTCAGTGGGATGGCCGTGATTACTCGGTAAATTTGATTGGATTGCCGATGGATAATTTGGAGATCATCCTTCGCATGGACTTGTTGTTCAGGAATTGTGTGATGATTGACTGTTGTGCTAAGAAAGCGGTGATGTCTCCGTGTGATTCCACTGCCAGTTCTTCTCCTTATATATCAGTACTGTAGGCTAGGAGAGCCTTGAGAGCAGGGGCATTTGGTTATGTCATGTTGGGAGGTTTGGTGAGTGGGACACAAGAGGATATTACCGGCATTCCTATGGTGAGAGAATTCCTCGAGGTCTTTTTATTAGTATATTGATGTCCTAGAGACAATCTTTTGATTAGATTAGGACATATGTAGACCTTTTATATTGTCGCAAATAAATAAAAGCACTATTTATCCTGTTTCATATTTTGTCTCAATATTATTGTTAATATTTTATATGAGTAACTGGATAAACCCCTTGGAATAAAACAGGTATCTTCTGACTATCTGTGATGAGATCACGATCATGAGGATTCTAGGATACCACATGTTTATTCCTAATTTTATGTTCCTAGTCTAGAGACACTGAGAATTGGGATCAGTGATCTCGGGTAAGACTAGCACGACTTATCTACTTGTATTTGGATACAAGGCAAAGACCTCATGTGCTACAGATATGGAGATGTCTTAGCTAAAGTCGTGGGTGGACCTATAAGGGTATAGCTCTCACTGAATAGACCCACAAAGAGACTCTATGAAGGAATCTCACAGATAGTGTCATTAGAGTAGTCTCTTTATATTTGGGTATGTCTTTCCTTAGACCAGAAGTTATTACCTAGACTGTGTTCTAGAAGGCATGCTTTGATTGTATACCTTGTCTGCCTGAAACATGGAGACTCGTAGGTACACTGTTGGGCTTGTCCTGAAAGAGCACAGGGCTAGAGTGATAAGCTGAAGGAATTCATCAAATCTCTGTGAGAGATTAGGTTATCTGTAAACCGGAGAAATCGGGATGACATTTACAAGGACTCGGGAATCTATGCATAGTAAAAGAGATCATGAGATGATCTGCCTTTAGAGTCAGTAAATTGAAGATTCCCTATTTCGAATAAAGTTTACCCTAAACCGCAAGGGTTGATACGATTCCTTACCCTAGGTTTAATGGGAAGATAACTGAGACGAAAGGAAATACATACGGCAACCAAATATGTATAATAGGATGATCAAGTCATTAATCTAACTAGTTCTGGGGCAACAAAGCATTGCTAGTGCTCTGTGTTGTGATTAAATGGGTTGTGGGCTTGTTGGGCCCGAGCCCATTTATGTCAGTGGCTATGTTGGACCTAATGGGTCACACACTAACACCTTATTGTCATGATGATCTAGCATTAAAGGTATTGGGCCTAATAATGGTTGTTAGCCCAAGAAGAAGTTTGGAAGCCCACCTAAAAAGGAAAAGAGCGCATGGATCATGTAATGGGCTTGGATGGTCCAAGACATTACTAATTAATTTAATTAGTTAAATTAATTATCAAATATTTAAATTTTGAATTTTGAATTTGAAATTTGAATTTTGAATTTGAATTTTGAAATTCGAATTTTTGAAATTGAAATTTGAATTTTGAAATTTGAATTTTGAATTTTGAATTTGAATTTTGAATTTGAATTTTGAATTTAAATGCTTGAACGTTTGAATTTAAAGGTTTGAATTCGAATTTAAATTGGCTATGAAAAGTTGTTTCATAACAAAAGAATAAGATAAGATCTTGTTGAAACAAATCCCTAGTATCAAGAGGAGATCTTTGATCATATCCAAGGCTGAATTTGGGGCGCCACTTTGGTTGTTGTGAGTGTCATATGGCTGGTTGGTTGAGAGAATCAGTGAGTGAGTTGGTTCAAATTTGAATGCAACTGCTCAACGTATCTAGACCGTTTCTGGGACTGAAGGGGGCGCACATATGGCTGGCCATATGTTGGCCATTAGATCAGAATTTTGACTAGGTTAAGACCTAGTCTCATGAGGATTCAAAGGTAGGTTGTTGGAAATTTTGAATTGCAACAACTCCACCTTTTTCTCCCTCTTTGTGCGCCACCTCAATCAGTTTTTTAAGTGAAAAATCTGATTGCATCATGACTCTCTCATCACAGTCTTGTGCGCCAACTTAGGTAGGTTCTCCTTAGGGTTTTTCGAAAAACACCTAGCCAATTCTACTCCATTCTATGCACCACTTTTGTGATGTTTTCTTGCTGAAAATATCACTCTTCTAAACACATTCACCTTACCTCCTCCTTCACCTATTGAGCGCATAGAAAGCCTCTTTATGGTGATCAATTGGTGGTTCTTCAAGAAAGAGTTCTTGCATCTTGACGTGGGTGGTGTGGATCAACGTTAGAGGGTTTGAACCCTTCAAACCTGACACTGATCTCCTTGGTGTTTGAATCACAAACAAAGGTAACATCATGTTGTCTTAAAGAATGAGTCTTGATTGCATGTGTGATTTCGCTTGAGAAATTTTTTTGTTTTTCCCTCTCACATGCTTCAGCCTTCAAGGCCATTTAACTTTCACTTTTCTGAGCAGATTCCCGAGTTTCTGCCACAGAGTGAGATAGAGTTCTCCATTGATCTGTTTCTTGGTGTAGGGTCGATTTCATTAGTTCCATACTGGATGTCTCCACATGAGTTAGCGGAATTGAAGAAGCACATTGAGGATCTTTCCACGAAGGATTTAATTCGACCGAGTGTGTCTTCATGGGGAGCACTGGTCATCTTTGTTAAGAAGAAAGATGGGACAATGCGATTGTGCACCGATTAAAGACAGCTGAACAAGGTGACAATCAAGAACAAATATCCCCTCCCTCGTATTGATTATATGTTGGATCAACTTAGGGGTGCTTGCGTGTACTCGAAGATTGATCTCTGGTCCGGATACCATCAGATTCGGGTTAAGCCGGAGGATGTCCCCAAGACCGAGTTTCGTTCGAGATACGGTTATTATGAGTATTTGGTGACCCCGTTTGGACTCACCAATGCACCGGCAGTGTTCATGGATTACATAAACCATATTTTTTAGCTGTACTTGGATCGTTTTGTGATCATTTTCATGGACGATATTTTGATTTACTCAAAGACTGAGGAGGAGAATGAGGAGAACTTTAGGATTCTGTTGCAGGTGCTTAAGGAGAAAAAGCTTTAAGCTAAGCCTTCGAAGTGTGAGTTCTGGCTCAAGTCGGTAAAATTCCTTGGGCATGTGATTTCTGCAGAAGGAGTTGCAGTAGACCCGAACAAGATTGAGACAGTGTTGGATTGGGAGAGACTCACAATAGTTACTTAGGTGGGGAGTTTCCTAAGTTTGGCAGGTTACTATAGGAGGTTCATTGAAGGATTCTCCAAGATGGTATTGCCATTGACTCCCCTTACCCGGAAAGAGACTCCATTCATATGGACTCATGAGTGTGAGGAATGCTTTCAGGAGTTGAAGGAGAGATTGACCACTGCTCCAGTGTTGATTATCCTGAGAAGATTAAACTGTATTGTGATACCTTTGGGAAGGGGATGGGCTGTGTGCTGATGCAGACTAGTAGAGTTGTTGCTTATACTTCGAGGCAGTTAAAGCCTCATGGGGAGAACTACCCGACTCATGATTTGGAGTTGGCTGCGATTGTATTTGCCTTTAAAATTTGGAGGCATTACTTGTATGACATGAAGTTTGCAGTGTTCAGTGACCACAAGAGTTTAAAGTACCTTTTTGACCAGAAGGAGCTGAACATGAGATAAAGGAGATGGATGGAATTTCTGAAGGACTACGACTTTGAGTTGAAGTACCATCCTGACAAGGCCAATATGGTAACTGATGCTTTGAGTCGAAAATCCGTAAGTTTATCCAGTTTGATGATGGGTGACTTTGATGGAATTGAGAAGTTCAGATACTTGACAGTGACCTTATTGTTTGGGGGTGCACTATTGGAGATGGAAACTGTGAGAGTTGAAAATGAGCTGATAGAGAAGATCAAAGAGGCGCAAGTGCAAAGAGGGTGTCTTGTCTATGTGAAGAACCAAGATGGTGTGTCTTGGAATGAAGACGTATTGTTAATGTTCTAGAAGAGGATTGTAATACCTAGGGGTCCATTGACTGAGGAGGTGATGTCAGAGGCTCATAAGAACCAATTCACTATCCACCATGGGGCTACAAAGATGTACCAAGACTTGAAGAGGAAATTCTGGTGGCCGGGCATGAAAAAGGACATAGCGGTGTATGTGTCCAAGTGTTTGATATGTCAGAAGGTAAAGATTGAACACCAGAAGTCGTCTCGTAAGCTTCAACCTCATGAGATTCCGCAATAGAAGTGTGAGAGCATTTCCATGGATTTCGTAGTGGGATTGCCTAAGACTCAGGCTGGTTGTGACTCTATCTGGGTCATTGTGGACAGATTGACTAAGTCTGTCCCTTTTCTTCCGGTAAAGGTGAGCTTCACTACAGAGCAGTTGGCCAAACTATATGTTCGCGAGATTGTGAGGCTTCTCGGGGTGCCCGAGAGTATCATTAGTGATAGGGACCCGAAGTTTACATCTCGGTTCTGGGAGGCGCTGCAGGGAGCTTTTGGTACTCAGTTGAGATTGAGTACAGCCTATCACCCTGAGATTGATGGACAGACTGAGCGGACCATCCATACATTGGAGGACATATTAAGGGCTTGCACCTTGGAGCAGGGCTTAGCATGGGATTAGTACCTACCATTGGTTGAGTTTTCGTACAACAACAGTTTTCATGCTAGCCCTGGTATGGTACCCTACGGGGCACTGTATGGTAAGAGGTGTCAGACTCCTACCTATTGGTCTTAGGTTAGAGATCGTGAGTTGTTTGGCTTGGACTTTGTCCAAGAGACAACCTAGCAGATCCAGATGATCAGAGAAAAGCTGAAGTAAGCACAGAATGGCCAAAAGATTTACTATGACAACAAGCATCGGACACTGGAGTTCAGTGAGGGTGAGCACGTGTTCGTGAGACTTTCACCTGTCACTGGTGTTGGACGGGCCCTCGGAGTGAGGAAGCTTAGCCTGAGATTCATTGGGCCATACCAGATACTTGGTAGGGTAGGGCCTGTTGCCTACCGGCTTGCCTTGCCTTCGAACTTGGCCAACATCCATGACGTGTTTCACGTGTCACAGCTTCGGAGATATATAGCAGATCTTCCGCACGTGA